AGTTTGTTAGTTTATTTAAACATTATTTGAATTAATTATTTACATATGTCTAAAATAAATAGGCTTTTATGTAGGCTAACAATCTAACTAGACCTTCGAAAAAGTTAGACTCGGATCTAAAAATAAACCTATGACAGACTACAAGTCAGACTTAGGCTTCATTTTTTTACAGGTCAGGACTAGGCTTGACAAAATCTAAGTCGACCCATCATATTTCCACCCTTACTTAGACATATAACAAATCTCTCAACTGCTCAGATGAGCCTAGCGGGTTGTCTCATTGTCTCCCCAAATAAATCTTTGTTGTAATTTTTCTAGCAGCATATACATATCTTTAGAGAACTTTTCTTTACACCTAGTAGTGGTGATTTTCACCACTGAAAATCCGAAAATATCCTTCGGATATGCACATTCGAATGCACCTCTCAACATGTTTTGGATATGCATATCCGAAGACACCATTTTTTCACGTTTTAATACTTAAATATTGGATTTTAATTTTTTAAGGTGCTTTCGGATATACACATCTGAAACCTTTTGAAAGGTGAGTTCGGATGTACATATCTGAAACTTCCCTTTCCATATTAGAATATTGCGTAATCACTCATTCCAACTATTTCATTCATTTTCTTTTCCCCCATAACCAAAATCCTCAACAAAACTTAAATCATTCTCGATGGAATTTTCGTCTCCAAATCAAGTTTCAAGTGTTTGAGTATAGCAAAGAGAGCATAGAAAGCTGCAATTTAAGGTAAACTTCAATTATTTCATCATACATTTCCTGCATTGAAGTTGATTTGTTGAAGAAGAAAACATCGCCGCTTCGGATATGCATTTCCGAATTCAACCTACTATAATTCGAAAGTGTATATCCAAAAATAAGTCTGTTACAAAACCAGAATTCTGTTTTTAACATAATTTATATTTTTTTGAACATATGTTAGGTATGGTGCATTCCGACAATATTGTCAAAGCTATTGTAAAGGTTCTAGACAAGGCCAATAAAGATGATAAGCCGAATGAGGTGAAAGACGTTGATAAAATGAACGATATTGTGATAGATCATGGACAATAATTTCCAAATGATAAAAGTTTCACCTCTCGTTAACATATGCTTGAATGGGTTCGAATGGAAACTAGCAAACTTGGGTTTGTCATTGTGATTGAAAGGTCTGACAATGGGACTAGTAAACGACAACCATTTGTTGTGATGACATGCGAGAGAAGTGGAAAATATGTTCTAAAACTTCGCAAGATAAAACATGATGACACGAGATTAAGGAAATGTGAGTGTCTGTTTAAATTGCGCGGTTATTGTCAGGTGGATGATTTATGGAGGTTTAATGTCATGTCCGATATGCATAATCATGTGTTGGACACCAAGCTACACGAACATTCAACTGTATGTCGGCTTAAGATGTTAGAGAAGGAATTTATTTCTGAATTATCGTTGATCAAAGTTGCACCGAGAAATATACTTGTCGGTTTGAAACAGAATAAACCAAAATGTGTTTCAAATATCAAGTGGATTTACAACTATCGTTATAAACAACACATTGCACAAAGAGGTCTGAGGTCTGAAATGTAACATTTATTGAAATGTCAGGGCGATAACCACTATGTTTCCAGGTACAGAGTTTGTAAGGACAACGTCAGTATTCGTGATTTTTTTGGACTCATCCATAAAGTATCAATTTGTTCAACACTTTTGCAATCGTTCTTATGATTGATTCGACGTACAAGACCAGTAAGTATAGGCTTCCGCTTCTAGAAATTATTGGTATCACCTCTACGGACAAGACATTTTCGATTGAGTTTGGTTTTTTAGAATGTGAGAAAGAAGACAATGTCACTTGGGCGTTGGGTATATGCAAGACTTTGTTGAAGAATCTATAAGATATGTCTAAGGACATTGTTACCGACCGAGATAATGCCCTTATGAATGCGGTTGACATTGTGTTTCCTTCGTCAACCACAATACTTTGTTGGTATCATATAACAAAAAATGTGAGAGCATAACTCAAACCCGCAGTTGGCACCAAAGAAAAAAAGAGTGAAGACAGAAACATGGTCAAATCCGGTTTTGTAGTTGAGAAGATAATGGGTGCATGAATTGATATTGTTAATTCTGCTACAGAAGAGTTATATACTGAGAATATGACACACTTCAGAAACTTGTATGTCGAATATCTCAATTTCTTGAAATACGTTGAGTCTACTATCCTTGATCAGGTGAAAGAGAAAGTTGTATGTGCTTGGACGGACTGTGAAATGGATGATACATCATGCAAAAGAGGCGGAAACTTGGCCGGATTAGTTTTTGGAAAGGATGGTAGAATTTACCAATTTGATGAAGCTTGAGAGAGAATCAAATAGGGAGAAGTCGAAGAAAGATCCGATTTTAGATTTAAGCAGTGACAATTTGTTCGGTGCATTTTATAATGTAATCAAATAATTTTTTAAATGTATTGATGAACATATTGTAAAATCTATATCTTTCAATACATACATAACATATTATCTATATTTAGTTTTACATTTGTTTATGTTTTCCATGTATCTTTGATACAAATAATGATGTTGATTCTGATTCTTCATAATTCGGAAGTGCAATTCAGAATTAACCTTCAAATTAAAAAAACAACAACACAGGACTTATTCCGCATATGAACTTCCGAATTCACCTCCTATTTCTATAAAAAAACGTGGTGTTTTCGAATGTGCACTTTTAAAAACCCTTTATATTTGTAAAAACAAGGTTAATTCAGATGTGCGCTTCTGAAATACGTCCTGATAAGATTTCTTTGGTATTGCTCCAAAAAGGCTATAAATTGAGTCTCCAAACCATTTCATTCTCCATCACAAACCACAACCAGAAATGACACAAACATATTCACACCTTGCTTTTGTCTACTTCAGTGGCGCGCAAACACCACTTCAATTTAGGTTCTCGCAGGACACGTCGTTCACCGAGCTCATTACGATATTGCATTCTCTCTTGCAATATCCAGAGAACTGAAAGGTGATCAAGCTTGAGTATCGTTCACCTTCATTTGACACTGAAGGAAACTTAATGTTCACCCTGTTTCAGCTGAAGAACGGCGACAATTTAGAGGTTATTTGAGGTACCTTTCAATGATACTCTTATAAGAGTCCGATTGAGATAGATGTGAAACTTCAAAGATCGACAGAAGATATTATCAAGATGTTGCAACGTCCTCAACTTTCCGTTTATAACAATATGTAACTTTAATTTTCTGCAGAACTATTTATGTAATTTCTTTGAATTATGTTGAATAATGTTGATTGTTCTGCCCATAGATAAATTCGGATATGCATATTCGAAATAAGCTAACAGGTGAATTCGGATATGCATATTCGAAGTAAATTTAATAAATCATATTGGTGGTGCATTCAGATATACATTTTCAAATTCTGGAGGTATTTTGGATTTTTCGCCAGAGATCTAAAAAAAGTGTACTAGACGTGAAAAAAATTCTCTATCTTTATTCATCTCTGATTAATAGAGATACTAGTACCGACTAGAATATCATTTGAAAATAAAAATGCCCTTATCGAATTCAGACGTTTACTTGAATTATATCACATGAAATACTTTTGACAAACTATAGATATAATAGTGGAACCCAACAATGGCCGTTGAATGAATTTGTTGTACAAACATTGAAGAGATTTTAGTGCATGTGTTGTGGAATTGGCCTTGTGCAAAAGATATATGGATTTAGCTTATTTCTTTGAGCAAAATAACTCGGTTTTATTATTATTTTTTTCTTGGAAGAATTAGATCTCTTACACTATTAAAGAAGATGTTGCGGAGTTTCATGGGATGCACTAAAAGTCCATCTTTATGATCTCTTCATGATACTAATGGAAGTGAAGAAAAAACTTTGAGGAAGGTTTCAACATCCTAACAAGCAAATAGAAACAACCATGCTACTTATGAGAGAGATTGAGAATGAGAACCATATACATAAAAATGTTATGGCGTCGATACCCAATTTCATACACGTTCGCCAAAGTCTCATAAAAAAATTCAACTATATTTTGTGGAGAAAAAATTGTTGTGCGAATTAACTAAACAATTATAATCATAATCTAAGATGAATCGATAATTCTTAAAACTGGTGTCACATTCTCTTAATTAGTTAGACTTTTTATTACTAGCTTATTTTGTTTTCTCTAATTAAATCATTTTTAATTATATTAATATAATTATAAAAAATATTATGAGATTTTAATCTTAGGCTCTATTTGATAAAATAGTCTATATAAACATTACACGTGTATATAGAAAGATAAGAAATGTATGAATGAAAATACAGAGTATTTTTCTCACTTCCATTACACGCTAAACCGGCGCGATTCGTAAAGGTTTGCATCCACCATCACAGATCTGTTTCATTTAGAGATTCTGTTTGTATTCAATTTCTGTTATTTATGCATCAAATTCTAAAATTCTGCTCATAGTTTGTTGGAACTTAGAACCTTTCTGTAATGCTTTTGTTGCTACTTGCTAGTATACTAGTCTTCATTTTTGTTCTAAATTTTAGTTTTTCTACATCAGATTTGGGATTTTTTTTTTGGTCAAAGTGCGGTTATAGATTGCATATTGGAATTTGAACAAACAAATTGTTGTTCAATGATATGTGATTTTGTATAGAGTTTTGTAGTTTGTTAAATTACAGATCTCGGGGGCTAAAGCACCGTAGCACAGCTTAATTTTGACAAACTGCTATTGTCTGTAAGAAACTCACATTAGACATTCTGCTTTCAAGTGTGAAAATTTCAGATGTTGATATCAATTGAATCAAGATTGTTATTTTACTCTTGAGCGTCAAAATCACGCAATTCTAATTGCTCTCCAAACATGATATCTGTAATTTTATCTGTTAAGTAGTGATTTTGATGTTTTCATTTCATTTTTTAAAATGACAGCAGATAATTTCATCTGTTAAGTAGTGATTTTGAATGAATAAAGAATGATAATAGATTCTTGTTGTCATGTAGAATTTTGCAAAAGATTCGTTCAAAACGATTACATCAACCAGATTGGGCATAGCTGCTTAAACATGACAGAAATCGTAAAAGACAGTTCTTTGGTGAAGATAAAAGTTCTGTTTTTTGCACGTGCGCGTGATCTTACTGGCTTGAATGAGGTACCATTGGAAGTGTCATCTGGGAGTACTACTCAAGATTGTTTGAAAAAGCTTCTTGTTCAATTTCCGCGCTTGGAAGAAATACAAGGATGCATGGTTCTGGCTCTGAATGAGGAGTATACATTGGATTCAACCATTGTTAAAGACAAGGATGAGTTGGCCATTATACCTCCAATAAGTGGTGGATGATTTAACTTGTTAGTAATCTTCTTCCTTCTCCCACTTTGATCCAGAACTTTGTTTGTTTAGCTTACAGAGTGAATCAACATATGTGAATCTTGTAATAAAGTCTTTTATATCAGTTGAATAAATAATCACAGTTATTGTAGTTGGTATCTATGAAAATGTTGGTATAAGCACTCAAAGCAAGAAGTATGATTCCACCTTCATTCTATTGTATATGTGAAAATGATGCTATAACCATCCGTACAAATTCAAGAGCATTTCGATGAGATGAAATGATAATGAATCTCTTCTCTCTTAACCACAAGTTTTGGGTTTGAATTCAGATCTGGGCCCGTAGAGTGTTAAATTCTCTGTGGTCCTCTCTGTCTCGAGGAATTAGGCTTTGCAGTTGCGTGCAGAAGATATCTGGTTTATACTGAAAAAAACTACCAACACAAAATGTTGGTATAACTATAAGCACCGAAAGCTGCATAAATCCCACATCCCCAGTCTTGTGATTGCCGAAGGTATGGGAGCTCTCATTTTTTGCAAGTGATCTCTGTTGTAAGATGTTGCCTGAATGTGATGATATCACCACCATTGTTGATGATCACTGGAAGAAGAAAAACCATTGTTGAATGTGATGATATATCAGTTATGATAGAGAAGATGAAATGCTAGTTTGTGAAGATCTATTTTTGGAAATAATGAAAACAAGTTTTTAACATTTTCAATGTTTCTAAAAAGTCTACATAATTATTCACTTCAAGAATCTACTGTATTTTCATTAATAAGTTAAAATAAATATATATTTCATAAATATAAAAATTGAAAAGGTTGTTACTAAATAAACAGAGCCTAAAATTTGTGTTTAATGAATAAAGTGAAATTGTAAGGCCCCAGTTACCTTCAACGTTTTTTTTGAGGCTTTAATGTGCCATCCCCTGCTTTATATATGACATGCTCTACTTTGTGACAAAAAAGACTAAAAAAAACATTGTTAATTTTTTTTTCTGCATACTGTCGTTTTTGAAAAAAAAAATTACGATGCTGAAAATTCTTTTGGCGATACCAAAAATTTCACAGTTGATATTGGAAATTTTGTTGAACAAGTAAGTTTTTGACCGAAAATATTGGACTTTTCTTATATTCTATACCGGAATTTTCGTTTATGTCTATCGGATATTCTGAAATTTCCAATTTATCTATTTTTTTTTTTTGAAAATTTTCAGAAATTTACAAATTTTCGATAGTTATCATTTTTTTTTGTTTTTTCTAATTTTTTATTTTTTAGTGAGGATCAGGGGAAAAGACGGGACCATTAGAGGCAAGATGACCGATAGGGCTTCCGCCCAGGTCAGGGTTGAGCAGGCAGAGGTATCCCAACTTCAGGTTGGATGAGTTGCTCTGACATGTTCACACCGGAAACAGATGGTTGAGCAGACGCAATACCGGTTTTGTGCACCTAGACGTCAAGCTGGTATCGAGGTTGTTGTTGACTAGGTACTTGTTGTTGTGGAGATGTCGACTCCTGCGACTGTTGAGGTGTCTTCTGAGACTGTTGAGGTGCCTTCTACTGTTGTTGAGGTGCATGCTGATGTTGAGGTGCATGTTGATCTTGAGGTGCATGTTGATGTTAAGGTACTCGTTGAGGAGGTGCCTAGTCATGAGGAGACTCCGACTGATATAAATGTTACGGCTTGTGCTTCTACAGACTATACCGACCATGTTACCTACCGTTTATGACGGAAAGAGATGTATATATATATTATTGAATTAGGAGAGACTAAGAGACATTTAGGTTAAACCGTGTGTTATGAAAGCACTACGGAGACTTTATTATATATAGAGAGATTACAACTAATTACACTATATAATCGATGTGAGACTATTCTACATACAAATATTCTTAACATTATATATTTACAAATATCAACACTCTCCCTCAAGCTGGAGCATATAAGTCAAATGCACCAAGCTTGCCACATATATAATTAGTTTTGGGGCTTCGCAGAGATTTTATGAACACTGTTAAGAGTTCCACGTCGGATAATATATGGCCTGAACATGAGTTTATAAGTGGGAGTAATCCTCACCTTACAAGCCGGTTTTATAGAGTTGAGTTAGGTCCAACTCACACATTCTAAGATGGTATCAGAGTCTCATCTAATATCCATTGGGCCACCCACCATTTAGTTCCACGCTCCAGCTCTAATTCTTGGGCGTGAGAGGGGGTATTAAGAGTCCCACATCAGACAATATATGGCCTGAACATGAGTTTATAAGTGGGAGTAATTCTCACCCTACAAGCCGGTTTTGTAGGGTTGAGTTAGGTCCAACTCACACATTTTAAGAAACACATCTGCCAATTGATCATTAGAGTTGACAAAGCTTGTGACGATGTCGGCAGATTCAATCTTCTCTCTGAAAAAGTGACAATCTATCTCAATATGTTTGGTCCTCCCATGGAAGACTGGATTTGAAGCAATGTGCAATGCAGCTTGATTATCACATACACGTGTCATTGGTCTTGATTCTTCCATTTTAAGTTATTTGAGCAACTGTTTTAACCAAATGAGTTCACATGTTGCCATTGCCATGGCCCTATACTCTGCCTCGGTGCTTTATCTTGCAACTACATTTTGTTTCTTACATTTCCAAGATATAAGGTTTCCTCCAACAAGTACATAATACCCAGAGGTGGATCGTCTATCAATTGGTGAACCTGCCCAATCAGCATCAGAATATCCAACTATCTGAGTATGTCCTTTATCTTCATACACTAAACCTTTTCATGGCACATATTTGATGTATCTTAGAATCCGGATAACAACATCCATGTGTTCCTGACAAGGGGAATTTAAGAATTGGCTTACCACACTGACTGCAAAAGAAATGTCTGGACGAGTGACTGTGAGATAATTCAACTTTCCAACCAATCTCCTATACCTTCCCGAGTCTGATAGAGGCTCCCCCTGATTGGATAGTAGTTTGACACTTGGATCCATAGGAGTATCAATTGGTTTAGCGTTCAACAAACCTGTTTCTTCCAAAATATCCAAAGCATATTTCCGCTGAGAAATCACCAAACCATCTTTAGATTGGGCTACCTCAATACCCAAGAAATACTGGAGTTTACCAAGATCCTTTATCTGAAATTTATTTGAAAGATGTTGTTTCAATTGGAGTATTCCCGACTCATCACTACCAGTTATGACAATATCATCTACATACACAATAAGATAAATACACCCTTGGACTGAGTGACGATAAAGACAGAATGGTCAGCTTCACTATGGACCATACCAAATTGTTGTACTACAGTGCTGAATCTGCCAAACCAAGCTCTTGGAGATTGCTTAAGACCATAAAGAGATCTATGTATCCTACAAACCATATTCGATGACTCCCCCTGAGCAACGGTGGTTGCTCCATATATACTTCCTCTTCAAGATCACCATGTAAAAATGCATTTTTGATGTCAAGTTGATGAAGAGGCCAATGTCGAATGGATGCAATAGTTAGAAGAAGTCTAACAGATGCCATCTTGGCTACAGGCGAGAAGGTATCACTATAATCCAACCCAAAAATCTGAGTGCATCCCTTGACTACCAATCGAGCTTTAAAACGGTCAATCTTACCATCTGGACCAACCTTCACTATATAAATCCAACGACAACCTACTAAAGATTTTCTAGTGGGTAGAGGAACCAGTTCCCAGGTACCACTGCTTTGAAGAGCACACATTTCATCAATCATTGTTTGCCTTCACTTAGGGTGAGATAATGCTTCACCTGGAGATTTAGGAATAGAAACAAAAGACAAAGAGGACAAACAAGTATACTACAAAGGGGAAAGACGATGATAACATAAATCAATATAATGTGGAGAAGGATTTCGTGTTTGACGTATACCTTTGCGAAGGGAAATCAGAAGATCAGACTCAAGTTGCAGGATTGAATCTGGTGATGGCGATAGCGTCGGAGAAGAGTTTGCAATGACCTTAGGGACAGGTACGACCTCAGGGACATGTACAACCTCAAGGACATGTATGACAGACGTTGGTTTACGATGCTGATATGTTTGAAGTGGGCGAGAAGTGGGCGAGAAGTGGGGGGGGGGGGGGTCAACCGTAGGGGTTTCTCGTGGGATATGTTCTCTAGAATGATAGGGAATAATGGGAAATGAGACGTTCGGAAGAGGTGTGAGAGTACTTTCCTGAAGGGGTTCCGGAGTGACTTGGGTGGACGCAAAATATGGCATAGACTCGAAGAAGGTAACATCGGCCGATATCAGGTATCGCTGCAGGGTGTGTGAGTAGCAACAATAACCCTTTTGGGATCGATGATAACCAAGAAAGACACACTTTAGTGATCGAGCTGATAGTTTATCAAGACCAGGGGAGAGATTATGCACAAAACATGTAGACCCGAAGACTCGAGGAGGAATTGGGTGAAGAGGAGAGTTTGGAAACAATATTGAATAAGGGATTTTATTATTAAGGACAAATTAGGGCATGCGATTTATGAGATAACACGCCGTGAGCACAACATCCCCCCAAAATTTGAGAGGGACATTACCATGGAGAAGTAGAGTCCAAGTGGTTTCTACGAGATGTCGGTTTTTGCGTTCGACTATCCCGTTTTGTTGAGGTGTATGAGGGTAATATGTTTGGTGTAGAATACCATTGGATGACATAAATATTTGAAATTGTTGGGATAAATATTCACGTGCATTGTCACTTCTTAAAGTACGAATGGACAAACCAAATCGGGTTCTTATTTCTCGATAAAATTGTTCAAAAATAGAAAATAATTCAGATATGTTTTTCATTAAAAATAGCCACGTGCAACGTGAAAAATCATCAATAAATCCCCAAATATCGGAGTGAACTAAAGCAAAAGGGGACGCAGCTTATTTATTGACTCGATCAGGAAAGTAACTACGAGTATGTTTCCCTAATTGACAAGACTCACACTGTAAAGTGGATAATTTAGATAAACTGGGCACTAACTTTTGTAGCT